TGTGTGTGTGTGTGTGTGTGTGTGTGTGTGTGTGTGTGTGTGTGTGTGTAGGCCCAAAAATGAGATTCTATTTCCACTTTGTCTGAAGGTCAGAGAGTTTTAACTTATTCAAAGTTGTTGACAACAACTATGGCTACACACCCTGACGTAGGGTATGGTTACTTGGTGTTTGGGACATTAAGATGGCCCGTACAGGTAGGTCCATCCTGCCCTGACCAAAGGTCAGAGAGTTTAGCATACTCCTGTTCCTTTTTTGAAGTAGGAGGTTTGACCTAGGGAGCAGCTGTCTTCAGGATATTTGGTCTAGGGTGGGTTCACTGCCTAAACAACAGAATGATTTTTTTTTTTTTTGAATTGATGGCTTGATGTCTCAAGTACAGAAGCAAGGAACTGTTCTAGTTGTTTGTTGTATCATGTTAAAGTAATCTTTTGTCTCCCCCACCCCGTTGTATTGGGATATAAGAGTGCATGAAAAATTAAACGCAGGAGAATTTCACTATTCGCTGGAACTCCCTCCCAGTCCTATCCTATGTTTCTGTTTTATTATTTTCACCTGCATCTTTGTTCTCATTACTAACTTCTCTAATTCCTATGCCCCTACTCTGGCAAGTGGTATGCTTGTCGAAACTGGTCTCCGACGTGTGTGTGTGATGTGTGTGTGTGTGTGTGTGTGTGTGTGTGTGTGTGTGACTAGTGGTGTTCATGCAGGTGTGCAGGAAGCCAGAAGTCAAAAGTGCACTGAGGTCAGAGTTCAGTGTTGGGTTCCTTATCGAGAACTCTGCTTCACTTAGACTGCCTGCCAGTGATTGCTCAGATGGAGATTTTTTTTTTTTTGAAAAGTCTACAATATATTTTATCAGACTTAACCTCCTGCATTCTGGGATTTAAATCAGAACCTTAAATCACTCAGCCAAGTACCAAGGTTTTCCTCTCTGCTTGGCCGTACATACACAAGCTAAGTTGCTGCTAGTTCCTCGGCTGAGTGAAGCTGCAAAATGTACATCTGCATTCAGTAGCTCGGAAGGGTGTGCTGTTGTGCCTGACTTCTTATGTGGGTGCTGGGGATCTGGACTCAGGTCCTTTTGCTCATGTGGACGTGAATGCTTTAGCAAATGAGTCATATCCTCAGCCTTCAGTTCTACTCAGATTAACTCCTCACTAGTCTAGGTCGGTCTGTGCTGCTGTGCAGCAGACACATTCCCATTGTTGTACCACTTCGGGATCCTTCATCACCTCAGTCCCTCCAATTACATCTATATCTTCTCCCCTACTCTCACCCCAATTCTGTGTCTTATCTACTTCCGGGTCCAGCTAGTCCTTAGCCCCAGGTGTACTTCTAGCTATTCCAATTCAGTTGCTTACTTGGCCCAGAACCTTAAACCACCCAGCCAAGTACCAAAGTTTTCCTCTCTACTTGGCCATACACAGCCTAAGTTGTTGCTAGTTAGTTCCCCAACTAAGTGAAGTTATAAAATGTATATCAACATTATGTAGTTTGGAAGTCCAGGACCTTTTGGTGCCATTTCTGTCTAGACCCAGGCATTGGGGAGTATAGAAGTCATGATTCTATTCATAATTCAACTTGCTGGCTCTTTACTAAATATGTTTTTTTCTCTTTGTGACTTTCCAAACATGACTAATGTGGAATAATAATAATAATAATAATAATAATAATAATAATAATAATAATGAAGATCATTAGGTATTTACTTGAAACTCTTCCTTATTCTCAAATTCATGGCATTTGTTTACTACATCCTGTGGATGGAAAAATAGGGCAATTTAGAAAGAAACTATAACATCTGGGTTCTGTTACAACATAAAGAAAAGAGAAGAAAATCTGCATATAAAACATCTTGAGTGCATCAAAATGTATGTGCTCAATTCAAGCAAGAATGAGATGTGGACATTGGTGGTCATTTTGGATGGTGATGTTTGAAGTGTCTTGCTGACTTCATGGTGCATTGCAGTGTTCTTCAAAACAGCTGTTGTGAACACAGTTTATGTGTATAGTAACAATCAAAAGAAAACTTAATTTCAAAATATTTCTTTTGAATCTTCTTCCTGCTCTTAGGTCAGTACCAGGGCCAGGGACATAAAGAGGCCGACTTACACTTCTGTGCTAAGTTAGCCAGCCCCCTGCTGATGGGACCCCGCCTGCAGGAAGTGGCCTTTCCTTGCCTTCTGTCTCAAGGTGACTACCTGTGATTGCATAAGAATAGCACTTGTGGATTTCAATTTGTTTCTGCTTTTTATTGTATTAAATTCTTCAGAAATTTAGCAATTCCTTCTCTGATAATCTACCTTAAAGATTTACTGTCAAAAATAATGATCAATTATTGGTGGAAAAAGAACCTCAAAAAGGGGGGGGCATCAACTGGGAATGCTGGGAGTGGTAGGAAAATAAAACAGAAATTGCATATTATCCCTGTAGAAATGATCTTCATCTACTTAATGAAAACGCCTGAACATCGTGTAGTAGCAATCTCAGGGTACATTGCCCAGTGTAAGAAGTAGAGTGTAATGCAAACAAAGCCCTACTTAATACCCATTGTTTAAGAAATTAAAACATTTTTAAAGGAAATTCAGGCCGCATGATTAACATGCACATAAGTGGAGTAGAAAATAATTTTATGAACGTTCTACCAAAACTGAATTAAGGCTGACTCAAGGGAAACACAGGCTTCTTTTAGAACAACATTAAAAATGAAGTATAATCATGGACAGGGCAGAGGTAAGATGATAGACTGCTGGCCAAGTAGGTGCGAAGCCTTGGTTAAAATGTTCTGGTAGCATAGCACTGTAATCCCAGAACCTGAAAGGCAGAAG